CGGGCAGGCAGAGGGGTGTCTCAGACCCTGGGTCCCCGCCCTGCTGCCTCGGGGGGCTCCCGCAGCCGGTGGGGACAGTCAGGCAGAAGGGGAGATGCCTGACAGCTCTGAGCCCCCCTGGGTGCTGCTGGGGGGCTGCTGGGGGTGGCCCCGCTAATCCCCTCTGGAGGGGAAGCTAATTGCTGCAGCCTGAGAGAGGCCAAAAGCCGGGAGGACCCCCACACCCCCACACCCCCACACCCGCCGGCCGGCAGCCCGCTCTTTGCTGCAAATTAATGGAATTACATTACCTAATGCAAAAGCCACGTGGCGCCTCCCCCCGGGCTCCTCCCAGGGCTGCCGCGGGGGCCCCCCGCCCCCCGCCCGCCCCCCAGCCCCGCGCCCCACAGACTGGGGGATGATGATCAAAAGCAGATGTGAGCTTCGGGAGCTGCAGGCCCGACAGACGCTCGCATTAACAGCGCAGTGGCCATTTCGAGAGCTGGGTGCATGACCCTCCCCGAGCCGGCCTCAGGCCAGCCGCTCGGCTCACGGAGACCTTAGGGGGGACCCCGCGGGAGGGGTCGCCCCGCCAGCCCCCGCCGGCCCCTGCGCCCAGCGGGGGGGGGGGTCTGCACCTGCAGACCCGACTCCTGAAGCCCCAGGGGGCGACTCCTGGCCGGGCCCGGGGCGCCCAGCAGCCCCCTCCCCTGAGGACCCCGTGGCGGGGAGGCGGGCCGGGCCCCCAGCCCCACGCACCCCGGCGGGGCGCCCTCACGTGCCGCAGACTGGAACAGTGCAGCGCTTTTATGCCCCGGGAACCGGGGTGAGCGCGGCCGGACAGGCCCTGGCCGCCGGGCGCCAAACGGCCTTGTCCAGGCGGACGGTCCCCCCGGCCGTGAGGCGCCCCCAGGCAGGCCAGGAGGCAGGGGACCCCGCTCCCCTCTCGCTCCACGCCCCGGACTGCAGAGACCCCTCCGTCCTCCGGCACCTGCCGCCCTCAGGAGGGGACCCCGTCTCCCTGCCCACGGGGAGGCCCCACAGCCGCAGCCCCCGGGGACCTCCGCCCTCACCCTGTGCAGCTC